TATATATATATATATATATATATATATATATGCACACACACACACCACGCACACAAAAACAAGTATATGTATTTATGTATACATAACACATACAAATATATAGTATATATGAAGTGTGTGTATACATAAAGTATATATTGCATTAAGAATGTATATATTTATAGACATATGTATAAGACCCTAGCCACAGCTGGCTCTTCACTTTCTAAACTGTACAGGCAGTATGTTCCTAGGCCATCCTGGGCTTCCTAGAGCTGTATTCTTTCCTGGTCAAAACTCTTCTAAACTGCCCAGCTGGCATGGCTCAGTGCTTGAGTGTCGACCTATGAACCAGGAGGTCATGGTTTGATTCCTGGCCAGGGCACTTGCCCAGGTTGTGGGCTCAATCTCCAGTGTGGGGTGTGCATGAGGCAGCCGATCAATGATTCTCTCTCATCATTAATGTTTCTATCTCTCTCTCCCTCTCTGAAATCAATAAAAATATACACTAAAACAACCACAACAACCTCTTCTAAACTTTTGGGGACACGGTCTAGCACTGCGGTAAAATCTCCAGAAAGCAGAGCTGGCCCAACCCCTAAGTGTCTTGGCGGGTAAGCCCTTTGAAGCCACCGGGTACTGTTTCTTCAATTACTTGGTCCTGAAATGCCTCACGGAAGGTGACCAGCAGCTGACCTGCAGGACCTACCTGACTGATCTCAAAGTCCCAACCCAGCAGCCCCATAAAAACCAGTCAACCAGCCAAGTTTCAGCAAGAGAAGCACCTAAAACAACTGACTATACTTGCAAACCTCAGATTTTTGAAAACCAAAAAAATTCATTCCAATCAAACACTACACACCAATAAAAATCACTGCTGGTGGCAATTCCAGTGGCTAATTCTTAGCCCAGAGAATGTGAGCCCTACCCAACAACCTAAAAAACTGCGAGGCTGTTTAAATTTGATACCACTGAACTGTACCAGGAGCAAGGGCAATCCTACAATGAAAGAATCACTGTATCCCACGCTTTTTTCCTGAAGGAGAAAGTGAGAAGTGCTTCATAGAAGCTGGGAGAAAGGCAAGTTTGCAGCAAATGAAAACAGAACCTCTCCCCTAAAAAAAAAAATTAATTGGATGATCACCTAGCACTAACATGAACACCCCTTCATTGGCCTGGCTCAGCCACATCCAATGATTCACGACTCCTTGCAAGGCAAGCTGCTGCAGATGCTGCTCCTGATAACTTACAACATTCACTGTGCGCGGTTCACCGGGAGCCCCAGCCTTCCTTCACCATGGAGACTTCCCACGAGAAGCTGGAGCGCTCCTGGGCTCAGGCGTGTTCTTTCCTCTTTCTCAGAGACGTGAGGAAAACCTAGCACGGGAATAGAACGGAAGAGAAAGAAAAGGTCAATGCACCATCAAGTCATTCTTTATCCCAACAAATGAAGTTCACAATCAATTAGACTAATTGATCATTCGCCAAAGACCATTCTCCACTACCTTTTTGTGAAAAAGAAATTCAATAGTTTTGCTCTTGCCCCAGGAGACACAGCAGCACGCCACGGCCAACCTTTCGCCCTGCTCCTCCCTGCCCCCCATGAGGTTGAAGCTAGCTCTGGGAGACTTCAGAGGCAATCCCAGCTGAGATGCAAACTTGCAACACAGCCTCAAAATAGGCCCTTGGTTTTACTCTCTGCAGAAAGGAGGGAGCTGGGACCTTTTGCCATTTTCATACCTCACTGGGTGGTTGGGAAGATCAATAAGATCACTCTTGCAAAGCACTCACAGTTCCTGAGAAGAAAGGCACTATATAAACACAACGCATTGTCAGTGGTCATAAGCCTGTTACAGAGCTCTGAGCCAGAATATAAAAGCCAGCATTGGCCAGCCACCAACAACTGACATTCCCTGGGGCCCTCAAACTTCTAAACCTCGGCCAGGGCCACCAGGCTGATTCCTCCTTCCAGGGAGGGGCTGGGGGAAGCAGAGGTCTGGAATCTCAGGGAGAAAGAAACTGAGGGCCTGGGGCAGGAAGGGAAGAGGAAGGGGGAGTGGAAGGTGGTGAGAGGCATGTGCAGGCGCATCATGACCTGGTCCAGCCACAGAACTCCCTGGGGTGGCTGGTTTGCAGTGTTTAGTGCGCTGGAGGTTTGCGGGGCTGTGAAATTTTCCACTTGGCCGTCTGCCATGTCCGCCCACCAAGGATAACACTTAGACACAGTTGTGGTGCACAGAGGACCTGTGGGGGAAGGACTGGATCACTTGTGTTTGTTGCTTTTAAAGAAAAGACCTATTCATATTTTGATCATTAATATTTTCCACACCTGGATTTTTAAAATTTTTCCCTTCTTGAAGACAGAGCCAGAAATAGCCTTTCCTGGGCCAATATTATCGAGTTATTTTGACTTGGGAATCCTTGAGGAACATACTTGAGGTAAAGGAACACACATGAGTGGCGTTGGGGACGACAGAAAACAGATTTTAAGTGCTGCGCTGGGATCCTGTTTGCTTCCCAAGTATCACCCCCAAGGGCCTTTCAAAGTCATGAGCACACGCTGAGTAAAGGCGGGAGTCGCAGCATTAGCATTTGTGGGTGTAATATTTTTGAGAGAAAAAAGTGGTCCCTTATCTCAAAAAAAAAGACAACAATGAATGATGTCAAATCTTAGATGTGGAATTGGTAAAACACTGACAAATGCTACCTCAAAATAAGGAACTAAAAATTGGAGAGAAAGAAATTAGGACAGAAGAGAGAAAGGAGGTGTCTGCTGCCGATATAATTAAGCATGCTTTTATAGTGAACACAGCTCACAAAGTGCTTGCTTATTAATTAACTCATTCATGCCAAATTTTTACTTGGTGCTTAGCATATCCACCAGGCTCTCTATTTTCAGTGGTGAGCAAATCAGACAAGAACCATGCCTTTAAGAGCTCCTTGCCTCACAGGGATGGCATTAAAGAACCCTAGCACACTCTTTTTAGTTTATGTATAAAATGTGAACACTGAACAGGTATTGTGAAGGAAAAATAAGCACTGCCATTTGCATTCATAATGGGGTAGGTACCCCATTTGGAAGGAAGGGTTCGGAAGGCTTTTCTCACAAAAGTGACATTTAAGCAGAGAAGTGAACGATGAAAGGAAGTTAGCCAGGCACGGGGTTTCCAGGGAGAGGAAACAGCCTGTCCTTAGGGGATGTCATCCAGAGATGAACAACTGAGTTCTATGTCCTCTTGATTTTTTCTGGCCATTTCAACTGGGTCTCCTTGATTTAAATCAAGAATTGAGCAATAGACTTTATATTATTAGCTAGAGTTATTGTGGTGATTGCTTTGCAATATATAGACATATAGAATCCTTGTTGTACACCTGAAACTAACATAATGTCACATGTCAATTGTATTTCAATTTTTTTAAAAAGAGCTGATTCTTCTTTCTGACTGCCAGGCCCATCAGAGCAGTGCACACTTAGTGGTTTCCTGGAGAGGAACCCCATAAGTGCAGGTATTAAATCTGATATGACAGCAGAGGTCCACTCTGGCCGCCTAATGCATCTCACTCACCCCATCATCACAAGAAAAAGAAGCTCTCTGCTAACACCTGCATGCCACAGCTGGAGTTCAGAAAACCCTCTCCAAAAAGAGCTAAAAACAGATCCCATCACATGTAAATGTCTGAAAAAAAAATCTTAGTACTTTGCATAGGTTTCAAATTTGCTGGCTTCCTCTAGATTAACGTTTTTTTTTTATTTCTCTCATGCAGTTAAATGGCATTTATATCCACCTACCTAATATAATATTATAGGTCAACTGTAATTGGAAAAAAATCAAAATTTATTTTTAAAAAAGAGTGTCTTAGAAACCTTCTGTCTTGGTTTCTGGCTTGGTTACCTGTTTACTTACCCACATGAGTAATACTTTGCAAAGAAATAAAATTGTTCCCTATGTCCCAGATCTGGTACAATTTAATTCTTCCACTAAGGAAAATCAGTTATTTGCTTTCCTCATCCTATGAAACAAAGGCTTCCTCAGACAGGCTTATTTATGTACTCCCCGTTGATGGAGTAAGTTTGAAAATCTATTTGAAACAAATAAGCCAAACTTTTATCTGCATCTCTTTCCATTTAAGACACCCAGGATAAAATGTAATTTCTCCTACAAGTTTCTCATAAAACCAAAAATAATAAAACACTCCAAGTTCAGTCTTGAAATACAAACCCTCGCTTTGACTCAGTAGCTTTGACAAACTAGAAAACTTGGAAAGAAAAGGGAGGGCAAGGAAAAGGACTTCTTGAACCTGAGTTGTCCACCAGCCCCCCTACCAGCCCTGGGAAATTCTGCCTGGCTGACAGCTTCTTCCCGACGAGAGGAGAAAATGACACCCTGCCAATTTCTCCTTCCCCTGACTGCCCACAGCACTTACAGTCTCTATCACACATTTTAACCCAAGTCCTTTTCAATTCCGCGTTCAGTTATATTGTCTGTTTATATTCCACTGGATTTATTTAAGTCTTGAAGGCTTGAAAAGCTTTTAAGCTCCTTGGTGAAAGAAAGCTTGCCATGCCCTTCTTTTGCAGCCTCCTCAGAGTATCTGTTAGAAGAGCCTGAATTTAAATTAAATGATCCATTTCCAAAACCTGTTCTACGACTTAAGCTGTACTCCAAAGGAACCACTGCTCTCTAGCTATAATTTAAGCCCTTCTCATTTTTCTCTGTCCTCCAGGGACTGCAGCTCCTACGATGCCTACCATCCAAATCAAAGCCCTCCATACACTGGAGAACAATTAAGTTATAACTCAGCTCTCGCTCCTCTGTTCTTCCGGTCCATTGTATTTTTAGTCGTGGGTGGCTTTTGAAGAGTTGCCATCTCCTTTGAAGATTTACAACCCACACCGCACCCCAGGTCACTAGGAACCTATATCTTTGATCCTCGCAGTTTTTCAAAAGCCATTATTAAGGAAACCCTTGTGTGTGGAGGGGAGATGAATGAAGTGCTTCTTAAACCTCAATCACCATCAGAAAAACCTGGAGGTCTTGTTCAACCGTGTTGCGGGGTCCCATCCCCAGGATTTCTGACTCAGTAGGTGTGGGGTTTCTAACCAGTTCCCAGGTGGTGCTGATGCTGCTGCTGCTGGTCCAGGGACAACGCTTGGCGAACCCCTGCTCTAAGGGCAAGTCTTCGTGGATTAGATAGCCAGACAGAGGCTAAGGGTCTTCTGAGTATATTCAATCACTCTCTGAGGAGGGCTACATTGGAAGGACTCTTATCTGTGTATTCCAAAGAGGTGACAGATGACCAAAAACCAAAAGGCTCACACACTTTATAATCTGGGAAAACTTCTGGTGGCTTTCAGCCTGGAGTCTTAGTCTGTTTTCTTCCTACTGGCTTCAGGTCCTCTCAGGGTCAATTCAGCCCTCTGTCTCTCCTTCCATCTTTTTGCTTCACTGGAAACTCCTTACAAAGGTATCAGCCATTGCTGTTCCTGAAAGACCTTCCCTCTATCCTGGTACATTTCCAGATGGCTGTCACCTTTCTCCTGTTCACCAACAAACATGTTAACGTGTTGTATAAACTCAAGGTTGGTATTTTCCCAGGCACATCTTAAACTCTTGGAGTTTGACTTCCACCCCTTTTGTGTGTTTTTTTATTGTTGTTTCTTTTTTTTCCCCAAAATATATTTTATTGATTTTTTACAGAGAGGAAGGGAGAGGGATAGAGAGTTAGAAACATTGATGAGAGAGAAACATCAATCAGCTACTTCCTGCACACTCCCTAGTGGATATGTGCCCGCAACCAAGGTACATGCCCTTGACGGGAATCAAACCTGGGAACCTTGAGTCCACAGGCCGACGCTCTATCCACTGAGCCAAACCGGTTAGGGCCACCCCTTTTGTTTTTTTAAGTAAACCTCCTTCTCTTTCCTTCAGATGGTTTCCTGCCTTCTAAATGCAGAGGCTCTTTTCTACCTGACTTCTTTTACAACATTTAACACAGTAGGTCTAGAGAATCAGAATACACATCCCTCTGGCCATGATGACTGTGTTAGGGGTAGGCAGGTGACAAATGCCATGCCAATCAAAGCCTCTCGGACCAGCTGAGCTGAGGAAATAATGCACCCTTCCTAGGGAGGCCATGGAAGCATGGTCTACAAAGAGCCATTCTTACCACCTGGTGAGGAAAGCCCACATGACAATGAAGCTCTTCAGCAGGGAGCAAAGCTGCAAGACAGAAGGACTGAGTCCTGACAACAGTGAGGTCCTGTGGATCCAGCCATGCCAAATGTCGTATTTATCCCTGGCAAAATGCTCACGTGGCCCCCACACTGCCCTGCCCTCAAGTGCACACACACACCTTCTCCTATTCAATCAAACTCG